CCTGACCGCCCCCCGCCCTGCTCTGAGCCCACCCCGCCGGCGTCTGGGGCTTGTTTTAAGTGCGGAGTTGGGGTTTTAGTAGTTGTATTTTGGGTTGTTTTTTTTTTTAATTTTGTCCCTGGCCCGCGCCAGTTCCGTCACCTTTTTAGAAACGTCTCCCGTTTTGATGCGTAAGCGTGCCCGCCTTTTAGTCGCGTACCTGCCGGGTCTCTCCGCGCCGTGCCGGGCAGCGGTGACGGGGGGGTGTCTCTGGCCACCCGAAAGCCGCCGCCCGGTGGGTTCCAGCAGGGCAGGCTTCGGGGCTATTTCCAAACCTGCTGCTCAGTGACTTCTAACAATTTGTTGGGGAAATACGGGTCTCTTCCAGGTTCGTAGAAGTCTGGGAGTTGCGGCCTGGAGGCAGAGGTTGTTCAGCCGGTTTCCACTAGTGTCGATTAAAAGACAAAAAAAAAAAATTAAGATAAAAAGGTTTGAGATCTGCTCAATGACTCCATCAGTAGCCCACGGTGCTCTGAAAGGTTAATGCTATTTCACTGAAACGGGTTTAATGGAACAAAGAGATCAGAAGGTTCACAAATACATGATTTTTTCCCTTTCCCAGTGAAAGTAAAAATCTGTTATAAAACACACTAAACAGCACTCTTGCAGTTATTGTTATAAAGACCACTTCATAGAGTCTTGGTATTCAATTCCTAAACTCATCTGCTTTCTCAGTTGCTGGGCTGTATGTAGCACGTGCTTGCTGTTTGGATTTTAATAAATTTACATCTACTCTTAACTCCAGAGGAATGCTGCAGGAAGGATGGTACTTTGGTCAATAAGGTTCAGTCTTTAGGTTTAAAACACAGAAGAAGGTGAAATTATTATTATATAATAGGTTTGGCTGGTAGAGCTAGATGTAAAGAACGGTCCGACTTGACATTTTCAGCTATGTCAATGATTTGGCAATGCTGGAGTAAAGAAATTTGGATCAGTGAGATCTTGAGGAGGGGTGCTACAGAAAAAGAGGAGAGAATTGTGCTTTTATGGTAACTGAAGCTGAATTGGATGTACCACACATCCCTGTAAAGCAGTGTGACGAAAGTTGTTGTTCCCCCCCTGGCCCAAGAAGATGAATCTGAAGAATGTTTGCAAGAGATGCCTGCGGTGATATGACAAACACTATGTCTCAGTCTGCCTGCATCCAGGTATTCATGTTCTGCTGATTATTGTTCTTAGTGATTATTGATTGAGTAAAATTTAAGGGAGAATGTGAGGTGAAGGTTTTAACTCTATACCATTCAAATATGGTATTTTCTCAATTTATTTGTCTGTGCTAAGCTGCAGAATAACAATATTTCTGTTGCTTTTCAGCTATGAGAAACCACCCCCAGGACTAATTAAGGTAAATATATTGCAATACATTTTTAGCATTAGGAGGGATTGTCACACAACCTGTCTTTTAGCCGTTTATCTTGTCTAAGTTACCTGTATAAATTACAGCAAGAAGTAGGTGCTTCCAGGGGAAAACTCAAAGCTCTTCAGTTACAAGCCAGCCTCTTTGACTTGGTGAATCCAGAGTGAAATGCCCAGAAACAGATAGGATGATACCGGTTCTTTCACCCTCTTAGCGCACAGACTTAATGCAGTATTTAAGGGTGCGGATAAAGGGGAGTCATTTATGGTAAAGCAGATTTTCAGTTTGAATGACACCTTTTCAGGATTCTTCTCCATTGCTTATCCTCAAATAATTGTATAAAAATACTTTCCTTTCATAATGATCATTGCTTTTGCCAAATTTATATACCTAAGCCATAATGTAGTGCTTTAACCTAAAAAATACTGCTCTGTGTTGTAAAGGCTGTTTTTAATCATTATGTCTTGTTAGCAGGAAGAGGAAAAAGAAGTCTCTGCTTGTCTGTTAAGTTTTCATTTATATTATTTATTTAAGTTACTAAAATAAAAGGGAACGAATAGAATTAATATGGCAATAAAGTTCAGACTGGAAAATTCAAGGGTGAGGGGAAAAAGAAAATTACTTAATGCTGTTAGAAGGGTCAGGTATTTTGGATCTTTTATGTGTTACAAGAAAAAGAAATGTTACAGGGGAGATAGATTCCATGTTAAGTGAATGCCTGCATGCTTAGCATATTAATTTTTACAAAGTTTAAAAAAAAAAAGTGATTGTATCTTATATCTTACTTACCGTTATCTTTTTCTGTAGGAAAATGAAACAAAACCAGAAGACTGCATACCTGATGTACCAGGCAATGAAAGTGCACGAGAATTCCTGGCACATGCCCCAACAAAAGGGCTTTGGATGCCTTTGGGAAAAGAAGTCAAAGTCATGCAGTGTAAGGCTGAAAATATTCCAGATGTCATTGGACCTTCATACAGCCATCTGTTTACTCTGGGGGAGGGCAGAATGTCTGGTGGACAGATGACAAGGTCCAGGTAGATTGTCATCAGATAGATTGATATAAAAGCAACCAGTACCCTGAAGGCTGTAATAAAATGCATTTTATAGACATTACATTTATCAACATAATACTTGTATCTATTTATTTGCTTCAAGAAATTGAAAATATTTTCCATAAATATGATGCTTTTTTTTTTTCCCCTCCTTCTGATCTGGCTCAGAGATGCAATTCACTGCTGCTTCTTTTTTTAAAGGTTGGAGGTGTAAACGTTATGGACACAGAACAGGAGATAAAGAATGTCCATTCTTTATTAAAGGCAACCAGAAATTGGAGCAATTTAGAGTAGTGAGTACAAATACTGTAGTATTATTGCTTGTGTTTTTTAATATTGATGGTGCATAATCTTGCAAGTGAGAAGAGGCCTGTTAGGTGATGCTTTATTAAGGAGTCTTCCTCTGTCTCTAGTATAATATAGATGCTGAAAGTCTCCTAATAAAGGAAGAGCTACAGATGTGGTTGGATGTTTGACTACTTTGTAGAAAATCTACTCTTCATGAGGAAAATTACTAAATTTTTACATTTCAATTGGAAATCTTCAAGAACCTATTTCAACCATTGTATTCAGTTTTTGTGATTAAAATGTCAACATAACAAAAAATGTTTAGTCAAGCTTGAGCTGCCCACATTACAACTGCTTCAAGCCTTCCGCTCTCGCTGTGAACAACCACATCATGAAGCCTGTTGTCTAGGTCTGTAATCCAGTCATTGTCTACAAGTCTGATCTCTTGCTACATGAGGCTATATCTCAGTTCCACAGATTCTTGCTGCGTGACCTCTTTAACTTTTTCTGTTGCTCTGCATTGTTAAACTATATTTCAAGCTCTCATCAATTTGTGTCTTATAGCCTCATTTCTATCCTTGAAAAATGCAATCTGGACTTTGTCCAACTGGAATGCTACTGCAAAGAGTATTTTTAGCCCGCTCCTGTGACCAGATTGCCTCTATTGTTCATTTTTCCTCAGGCTTCTTCTCTGTTGCATCAAGCTCTTGCTGTATGTCCAAGGCCTTTCATGGTGCATTCCCAACATCTTTCATTTGCTACTGACATTTTAACTTCCACCCACAGTCAGCATCTGATACCTCCTCTCTGTTGAACTTCTTTGCTGAATCTTCCAACAGAAATAATCACCCCATTTTTTTGCTGCATGCTTGCACGGCATGAACTCACCTTAAGTACCTGCAAAGTACCTACCTTATTTCCTGCTTTCCTTTGCAATGATCTTTTTCTGCAATGCCTGTTTAATTTAAAAATAACTGATCTAGATACCAATAATGATAGCACATAGTATATTAGGACAACTCACAACTTCGTTATCCGTTTTTCTTATGTTCCTTGCACCTGTATTCCTGTGTTTGTATCCAAGTTTTCAAAATATGCTGTAAGGGCACAGCCCATTATTTTGAACTTCAATATTCCTTCTATGTCTAGCTATTCCTATAGTATATGTATGGGGCTCTTTTAGCTAATGGTGATCTGAGAGGGAGAGGTAGTATATGTAAGGAGAGTCCACTTCATTGGTGATATAACTAGATAAGCTTTTCCTAAAGTAAAAAAAACAGTTCAGATTAATGATGTCTGAGACTATACTTGTGAATTAAGAGCTCGCTAAATGTATTTCATCTTTTGATAAAAGCCTCTTGCATTGGGTTGCTTTGGTTTATTTTTTTAAGAAATACAGCAGTTGGTGATAAATACTTTTCTTTACCAACATTAGATTTTCTCTTTTCCACTTTAAAGGCACATGAAGATCCAATGTACGATATAATAAGAGAAAATAAACGTCATGAAAAAGAAATGAGGTATGTTTCTATAGTAAACTGCGTTTTCAATTCATTTTTCATTTTGATGACATGATACTAATGTATAGGTGAAGTTCTGATATAAGCTACCCTCACCAACTCAGAACATTTTTTTTAATGGCCATTTCTTTATGTTGGCAGACACTAATGCGTTTCTACTTTCTCAATAATCACTCAGTAGTACTTCCTACCTCTTTAATTCTATTAGCGTCTGTATTTTTTCCCAAAACAAAGTTTAAAGAGGAGTCATATTCACTTATGCCATAATATTCAGGTACTTTAGTTTTGGTTTAGGCCTAAAAAACAGTTTGATTTTTTTTTTTGTTCTCTTTCACTGACTTCACGGAGATACTTTCTAAAATTTGCAACATCACAGTGCCTTTGGTAGACATGAAGGAGTGGATTTAGAAAGCTAGTTCTAGGCACCTGACGTTGTTCCTTGTGTGAGGTCATTATTCAATATATAAAGCAGCAGAGTTCTTTAATGCTTTCTTACTTGAACTGCATCAATGAGATAACTGACCAAACTATAGGTAGCCCGTAGAGTAGTACTGCTGCTGTGGGTGCTCCAAATCTTCAGGATACTGAAGACAGCAATAAAATAAACAGATAGTTTGTTCCCATTTGCCAGTAATCCATGAAAGTTCAATGGAATAGTGCCTGTCAAATACCTCTGCATCTAAAGTAGTCAACTCTATCAGCTTCACTGGTATCATCTCTGTATCAGCAGGGCAATGAATTTCATAATATCATAATCCCAATATGCATCTGGGTATGGATAAGCATAGAACTTCTTATGATGGTCTGGCGATAGCTGTTGCCTCGTTATTTTGCACACATAAATACTGGGCAATAAGCTAGTCTGTCTTTGATATCCTGTGGGGTGGGAAGTCCCTGAGAACAGACCATCTGCTCATCTCAAAGAGGTTGCTTTTATCAGTCTGTGAAAACTATAACAGGAGTGTAATTTAGCAAAAGAGGAAGTGTTCCCCTGCCCTTTGCATGCAGCTCCCATTTCTCAAGCTAGGAGGGAAACAGATGAAAGCTAGAATAAATATTAAAGGTATAGGGAGAGCTAGAAAAGATTCTCATTCACATTTTTTAAACTCAGGATACAGCAACTGAAGCAGCTCCTGGAGGACTCTACCTCAGAAGATGATGATGATGATAGTGATGACAGTGATGAGGATGATGAAGATGCCAGCAGTTCCACTTCCTCAGAATGTAGAGATAAACACAAGAAAAAAAAGAGAAAGAAGGAAAAGAAAAAAAAAGAAAAGAAAAAGAAGAAAAAGAGAAAGCGTAAATCATCTAAATCTAATGAGAAGTCGGAATCTGACTGACAGCAGTTGCCTGCTGTGTGCTCATTGACCTCTACTTGTGAGCTGCAAGGAAGGATCCAAAGAACGAGGAAGAAACCACCAGAAAGGGCTTTATTAAATTCAGAACATACAGGTGGATACATACAGCATTCTACACTGGCTGTCCTCTTCTGCCCCTCTGCAGTGCTGCAGCCAGAAAGAGCCACATTAAACAATACTCAGTCAACCATAACTTTATACTGGAAGACCTGCACTGACGGTCATCCGTCTTGGTCAAATTGGGCCTCTGCGTTGCCACGTGACTATCAGCAGAAAGTAGTGACTACCAAGGTATTGCCAACAAATTTGCAGAATTCAGCAGACTGTCCATTGAAGTGTCTTTTCTCTATGAAGTTATTTTATTGTATACAATGCCTCATTGTAATGGGACTGCAGTTTGCACCGTGCAGAGCACTGACAGTTCACTTAGAGTGCTTATAATAAGCAGGTTGTACTGTATTTTTTTTTTCTCTGCATACTGCCTATGTGTTGAAGTTCATTGTACTTATCCTGGTAGTGGCAGCTAGAGAAATAAAGAGCACTGCTGAAGGGGGGAAAAAAGTTAATCAAGGGGATTTAAGACAAAACTGCAGTGTCAGCAAGACTTGTTGGTTTGTTTTTTTGTGTAGCAAAATCTCAGCGTCATTGCCATTAATGCGCACAGTTCTGCAATACCTAAAGTGTTCTCCAAAGTGTGGGAGTGGGAGCCAAGTGGAATGATGTTAGATTTCAGCTTTATTGTAAAGAGGTGATGGTTTTAGTTATTTAAAAAGGGGGGGGTTCATGTTAGAAATGAAAGAAATTAATTTCTACATACAGTTCAGTATCAGTTGTTTTGATACATTTGAGTGGTTTTTTCCTTTTAAAAAGGCTTGGGGAAGTAAACTTCAACTTATTTTTTATGTTTACTAGAATTATTTTATGTAATAATATTTTATGAATCATCCCACAAGAATATAAATGAGTAAGGCTTTCAAAACAGTTTTCAACTATATGCATGTAAGCCACAGAACAATAGTAAAGGACTTGCAAGCAGCAAGAAGGGAAAGTTTTGTGTACTTAACTGACATTGTGGACTGACCACACTTTTCTTTTAAATGATCTTGCATGGCAGACTTGACTAGAAAGATTAAGATAGATAGCTACAAACTGCACTAGAATAAGCATCTCTTCTTGAAACATCAAGGTATAGTGGTACAAAGCTGCGATGTGAGGACATAGATGATATGTATTGGTACTCTGCAAAAGGAGGAAGAAAAATAGATTTGCTTTGAAAGGACTAGGAAGGACTTACGTAGAACTTAGTCTCTGTGCTTATGCTTATATTGAAATAAAAGCATGACAAAGCTCTAACATTAGTAGAGTGAGCATTAACAGTGAAATCAAGGAACCATAGACTAAAATGAATTGAAGACTCTTGTTTTTTGAGAAGAGGACAAGGTAAAGTATACATTAAAATGTGTTTTCTCCCTCCTACATGTCTAAGTCTTTTAGTAAAAATAAACGCCCATTCCTTGCCAGTCATTGACAGGGTAGTCAAGGCTTACTTATAAAAAGGTTCTTTATCTTATTCCTAGAGCTTGAATGTGGAGTTGTGTTTTATCCTCCAGTATTATTTAGCAGATCTTCCTGTGATGGGATTTACTGGTGACTCCTGATAGTTCCCTGTGTCAGCATCATCATCAACAAATTCAAAGCTCCTGGCTCTTCCACCAGAAAAAGGTTTAATGGCTGAAATAGCATGAGGAGACTTATAACGGCCTGGTTCTGTGCATGGCCACATTTGGTGCTGAGAAAATCCTTGTGTTTATAGCATTGGTGATTGTTGGACAGATGCTGGAAGCCACAGCTAGTGGCATTCCAAGAGAATTCTCACTCAAGTTTGTCTAGAGCAGAGCTAACCTAAAGATGTTTTCAGTTACTTTAGCTTTTGTCAGTTAACATTCTTCTGAAGTTCAGTTCAATAAAAACAAACTCAGTTTTTCCTCAGTCTGTCATCCCATTCCTTGTTAATGGGTCCTTCCCATTTTATCTACCAGGGTTTACCACTTGAACAATCAAGAAAAATACTGTAAGAGACCATCTCTAACTTAGATCGAATGCTATTTAAAAGTTTGTTTTGAGATACCAAATCACTGTTCTGTACCAGACTAAATGTCTGTTTAACCCAGTATCTTTTTCTACTCATGGTCAAGAGTGGATGCTTACACAGAGCAGTGCAAACTCTAGTGGCATTATTTCTGTTGATTACACCAAAATGCTGTCTTGCTTCTACTGCTTATAGCACAGGAACTCTGAATCATAGATTACATTTTAGTGTTTAGTAGCCTTGGATGTATTTTTTCCTACATCCAGTCACTTACTGTAAATTTTGCAGTTTCTTTCAGCAAGGAACTCCAGAGCTTAATTAATAATTAGTGAAGAAACATAATTTGCTTTCAAACTGCTCCCTACTAGTTTCATTTCATACACTCCAGTTCTTGTAATGGAAGGCATGTGAACAACTGATTCCTATTCTTTTTCCCCATATCATTACCAGTTTTATAGATATCTATCCTATCCCATACATAAAGATTTTATTAGTTCTCTACTGAAACTCATAAAAGTAGAGCCAATTTCAAAATTAAAGCTAACAGTTCCAATAGAGTAAGATTTTGAGTAGTACTGACTAGAAGCCAGTGCTGGAGTGCCGAGAAGCATGATTCATTTCATCATTTAGCATTTTAAACAGTGCCAAAGCTGGCATTTAAGAGACTCCAGGTCTTTTAGAAATACATAAACTAGAAATACCAACACCCATTATAAATGAATGGAAAATGATTCTACATAGAAGTAGATCCAGAAGGCAGGACAGAAAGCTGTATTCTTAAAAGACTGATGAGCCTTATTTTTTAAATCTTAACTATTGAACTATTTATGGTTTTGTTTGAAGAACCATTTTTCTTCCTAGCAATCCTTGCCTTCTTTGTAGACACAGGCATTTCCATTTAAAAGTTCTGTTGAAGCCTGAGTGATAGAAATCGCATAATTGTATAGTCCCATGAATCTAAGTAAGTGTGAAAGGCAGCTAGAACATACCTCATAGGCAAAACAGCTTAACAGATCTTTAGCTCCCAGGTCTGTTTATCTTAATATGCTAAACCATTCTTCTCAGAAAGATTACTTCAGCAAAAATACTGACATCTGTGTTATTTCCTTGGCCACGAAATTACTTGGGGTTTATAGTTTTGTTGACTGAGATGACCAGTGGCAGCAAGTCAGGGGAATCAGAGGACTTTTTTTTTTTTAAAAACAGTGGATTTTTTTTCTTGGTACACCTACAGTTAGCATGCAATGAGTGGGTTTTGCTGTTGGCTCCTGTCTTCCGTTGTTTTATTTTAATAGAAAGACCTGTAATTAATCTTTTCCAACATAAGGCAGAAATCAGGACATTGTAAAAGGGAAAGCTTTATGCCATGCAGATGCTACCAAATAGAAAATTAAAATATAGAATTAAATCCTGGCAAGCCAACCTAACCCACTGGCTCCACTTCAGCGATTACGCTGCACCCACTTTGCAACAGAGGTTTTAGTTAGCTACAAATAATGATTTAGGAATTCCAAGTCGCAGACAGTGAGTCTGTCCAAACAAAGGTCCCACTGTGGCAGTCTCAGAGGCCTCTGAGGTTTGTTACTGGTGTGCCACGCAGCTAATAGATTCTTCAGCTGCCCTTCAGTAGATGCTGCAGAAAGCATGTAAAAGCTTCAAAGGCAATGCAGTGCTGCTGCAGTTATAAGCTCATAATACTGCCAGCACTGCAGTTAGTTACTCATCACTGGGCAATCTAGCTTCTGCGGTAACAAAAGTTGACATGTATGCGCATCTGTAAAAATGAAATCTCAAATATCACTGCAGCTAGTTACCTGGCTGAATAAAAAGAGCCTGGACTTTAATTCACAGCCTTTTAAAATGCAGTTTGTACTTCACAACCTTTCTGAACATTAAATACAGTAGTGAGCCAGTTGACTTAAGATGCAGTCCACAAATCCTCCGTGCTGCTGAGTGAAGAAAAAGCCAAGTAGAAGATTTAGTTTTAAGGTCACAGGACTAGTACAGAGTACACCACATATAACATTAAGGAGTATTTCTGGAGCACTAGAACACTCATGCATACTACTTTAAGCATTGGTGTGGATCCATAGCATGGGCACACTACAAGATTTTAAGCAATTAGTTTAAAATAGCATTTGTTTTCAGATAAAGAGCTGTCTAAACACTCCTACTGCTACTCCCTCACATTCTTGGGAGCTAGCATCACCAGGCCCTAAACTGCTGCTTACATCTGGGTGGAAAGCACTGACGAGTGTAAGTCCTGTAAAAGGATGACTAGTGTGATCGTGGGAATACCTGTGAAATATTAGCCATTCCCAAAAATAAGCATGGCATCTAACTGTGAGGTCATGAATATTCCTTTAGCAGACAAGCAGCAAAAGACTGCTTGTTAAGTCAGTCAGCAAATTGGCTTAGCACTCAATCCCAAAGCTACACTCAAATTCAGGGAACAAGAAAATCCTTACCCAAGAAGTCTCAGTTATAGCTGAGGATTACTCTTAGATCATCACACAGTCTTCAGTTGAAGATATTCTACCATTCCTATCAGAATAAAGACTATCCCACTCTAAAAGCAGCAGATTCCTATATTAGATATTCAAGAGCAGGAGTCCTATATTTTCCAGAGTATTAAAAACCTCCATGCTTGAAGTAATTCTCTCCCTCATTTTATTCTTTGAGGTACTGATTGGAACAGGTTTTGTGCAGCACAAAAGCCAAATAAGAATTTATATTCCATATTGCAGCACTTCGGGTAGAAATAAAGACTTGGCATCACAGTGTTAAAGTGAATCCTTTCCCCTAACAGCTTGGAGTTAAAGAGCTACTGTAATTACAGCCTTTACAAGTAAACAAGTGCTATTAAAAATAGCAAGATCAAGGATCACTTAGGTAGGGAAACCTCAATATTCCTCACTGAGGTAGAACAGCATAACCTCAGTTACAGGTCAAGCTAGTAGTAGGTAAGCACAAAACTTGAATGCAGTCACAGGAAATGCTACTTCCATCCATGTAGGTTATTCTAGGGCACAGACATGATAGAACACTGGGAGAAGAGGCAGAAGGTAAGTCCTGTCTGTCCATTCCTCCCACCCTTTATTAAAGAAAAACTGGATTTGTTTTGTTGGGGTTTTTGTGTGTGGTTTTTTTTTTACAGTTTCCCTACCTTTTTCACTCAAACTATCACTTTATTTGGGAATCATCCAAGAATGGCAGTATCATGTTTATTCTTCTCACACATTAATACTAGCTTTCATAGACATGAAAAAAGATTACACATTTTTGAGCCAACCTCACCTAGATCAGTCTATTTCCATTATTCATAAGATAGCTCAGTAGAGACCTAGTTTTATCATCTTAGTTCTAGAAAGAGATTTTTCTGTAGCAAGTTGCCGGGGACAGCATTAACTGTAATAGAAGTCATCAGTAAGAAGTCAGGGAACGGGGCACACCACTGTTGTAAAAACTTCTGTTTCACCTTCAAAGTCCATCTCTTCAGTTCAAGGTCTCCATACAGGACTCATGAAAGTCTCCACAGAAAGAGGAGGGGAGGGGGAAACATCACATCAACTCAGTGCTTTAGTTTTAGTCCTCAGTCATGCATTTGAAGAGTAACATCTGAAGAACTGCCTTGAAATTTCAACTCAGTACTTGACTTGATACAGCTTTAACTATATTCCTTTATACTTCAACAAAAACAAATCCAGCCAAAAATCCAGCTGATGGAAGGGAATCTTGTACCTGTGTCCACATCATATAGACAAACTGAGGATGAGATGACATTAACAGGCTTCACAATCCTGCAGAGCTCAAGAGCAGGGCAGCAGTAAATGGTATGCTATAATAGTATCGATACACATACATCCCTATGATAAGCTCTTTTGCTTCCATGTATAGATGGAATACAAGAAGTCTCAAAGTGCAATTCTATTACATTTATTATTTAAATAGTGGATGTGCTAGTTGTAAAAAGGTGACTTTAGTGTTAGATATTTAATTCCATTTTAATAGCATCCCCAGTCTTTACAGTGCTACTCCTTACCCTTTAGGAGTGCACAGCAACTTACAAAATATACAAGAGAATAACAACTGAGTTTTGGATTTATGCAAAACTGATACATGTCTTCCCCGCCCCCCGCCCACCTTGCCCCAATATCTGCAGTTATCTTCTCTTAGAAAGGCACTTCCTTGTTCCACACCCTAAAGAAAAAAAAAGATTAAGGTATGCATTCTCCCTGCAAATAATATACATCAATTTGCTTCTAAAGAAAGGCTAAAAGCGGTGACTGCCTTTTTCTATTACAGGAGAGGACACTGATGATTGATACTAGAACTATATACTCCACTTCCCAGCAAGGATAAATTCTGCAGGAATGGTGTTGGACTTCCGAATATCCCAGTTTAACAGATAGATCAGAGTTCCATATCAAACTTGTAGCATACTTTCAGTGCAGACTTGAAACTACATTGTTGAATGCATCCAAGAAACACCAATTATTACTGGGGCAATTAGAAGAAACATTTTGGGATAAAGCAAGTTTCCTAGATGTTTTTACTAAAAAGGATCAGCAGTTAAAGGCTTAACAGTGATGTTTAAATAATCTGACTTCAGGACTGACACCAGTTTTGACTAATAAGATGCTTCATCTAAGTTTTTGTTTCAGACATTGCAAATACATGGAATTGTAATCCTTTGTTTAATACATGAGTTAAAGACCCTCTCTTTCTCATATATTTCCTGACTGCATATTCAAGTTAGCTTTACTATGCTAGTTTGTTCTTTTCCAGAAGGAACTCTGATCTTTTGGAACTTCTTGTATGTACTGACCCTTTTCAATTTATAACCTTTCCAGACTCTCCCACAAATGCATAAGAGCATATTCATTATTGAACCTACTAAACATTTTCCTCTCCATTCTTTTTCCCTACCTTCCTCCAAAGCAGCAAGAAGTTCCTACTCCATAAAGTTAAGTTCTTAATTATCTACATGCATTTGGTGTTGTATCAAATTACAATATTTTAGCTGAGACAGACCTGAAGCTTAAAGAAAAGGATATACTGCAAAGTGACACAGGACCCAACATTTAAAAAAGAAATTGGAACAACAGTTTGAAAAGAGGCCAGACTAAAATAATGGGTTGTTCCCCCCCACCCACAAATAAAGGGAAGGAACTTAATCTGGTCAATGCTACAATGGTATTCATAGCAATGAGAGTAAGTTTTCAAAGTTTAGCTTGCTTTTTTCCTCATCTTGTCTCCGTACTTACATAGCATTTGCTATTATTTCACAAGCTATGCAATATCCTTGCAGTTCAAACGAAGAACCATTACTCCGAGACAGTAATGAAAAAATGCTTATAAGAGTTTTTTGTAGCTCATCACCGTACCAACCTTTGCGTACACTGCTTTTAGGCATCTCCCACACTTCTTCCACCTCACATCTTGTGTCTCTGCGTTTTGAAGGTGGCTTGCCTATTCTTTTCTTCTTTGGTTTAACCAAAGGTGGGCACCCTAAATAGCAAGATACAACTGGTGTTATTTCTCCACAGCATAGCCTTAAAGCAAATTTAAGCTTGTCTTTCCCCAGCTGGTCTGTAGTGTTCCTTTTTCTCCCTTTCCTCTATGTGCCCATTTTAGTGGCAGATAAAACTGACATTATGTATATCAAGCAGTCTTACATGTCTACAATAGTCACTATCTAACCACAGTTATGGATGCATTGTATTTTGGGTCATAACTTGGTTAAGTGTTAATGTGGCAAAAAAGAATTCAGTGAGTTGGATAATTCTGCTCTAGTTCATTTTTCAAGTGTTCAAGACTAGTTGATAGCTGTCCAAGTGACCCAACTCACCTGTTGTCTTTAAAAACCTCAATTCTTCAGACTTATTAAGTTATGCACCACAGGTACACAGTTCAAGAAGTCACATTTAGCATGTTATTAGTGCTAAAGCAACATATCATGTTTAGCCAAACTCCCTTACTTGCAGGGCACTAAGTTGAAGAAACCAGTCCTAAGATAGCAACATTTTTAAAAGGATGTAATTTTACTAGCACTTCTGAAGCATCCATTGGCATGAACAGCATTCATAAGAAACAGATTCCTTCTTCCTTATACTGAAGGTGATAGCTTCTTCAAACTACATAGCTTGGAAAAGGATGAAGAGAAAGCAAGGAGTAACACAAAGGCCAAACATCCTCAGTATGCCACACCATCTATGACTTCAAAGAAATAGAAGGGACATGCTGAAAGTTAGAAGTAACAAAATTTTAAAACTATATTATTTTTATGAATTGTTGTAAGGAGCTAAGAATGATGCTGCTACAGTAAAGTGTTTTCAACTTCTCTATAACAGGCTAGCATAAAAAAACCCCACAACATTTTGAAAAAGTCTGTGAATACAAAGCATAGAAAACCTCAGTGCAGGATGCAAATCCCAAACCCTGACATGCTCAAGCAGGAACACAATGCAGAGAGAGAACTCTAAGGAACACACTCTAAAGAATAGTCTACTGGGCTGTTGATAGAGGAAACCTGATGTATACTATCACTGAACTGAAGAGAAGCAAGTTAAGTCTGTTCTGAAGATAACTTCACACTCCATTATTTGATAGACTGATCCTGTGATTCTTGAAAGCACATGACCCAGGACAGCAGTAATACTCAGACTACCACAAATTCTATAGTCGTTCCAACAGCACTTACACTAAGAAACACCTTTGAAGGGTGTCTAGAAACAAAGCTGAACACCAAGTAGACCTTAATTGTAAAAACAACATTCTGCTTCAGGAGGAAAGAAAAAGTAAAAGGTTAGATTCCAAATCTTTGTTAGAATGACTTTGATTTGTTCATCTTTTTCTTAACCACATAAAGATGATTTGCACTCCAACATCTTTTAGCAGTAGTGTGGCAACAGTTGGTCCATGCTAGTTTCTCTGAACATTGGCCTATGTAGCAATCACACAGAACTTCCTATATGCTCTACTCATTGAGATTAGTAACTGCCACTGCATGTGCACTAAGCATTATCTGGGTAAAGAATTAATACTACAGTTTATGGCAGTGGCAACTTTGCACAAATAAGGGCTTTGCTTGGCCACATTAAAGCATTTGATGCTTTGATTTCCCACTATGCCTTTAAAAAAAGTAGCTATAATGCATCCTTACTCACATCCTTTGAGAAGGATATAAATATATCCAGATACGTAGTAAGTGACCAGCATTTTATCAATATCAGAGCAAAGAAAATTATCACAGAATCATAGACTAGTTGGGGTTGGACAGAACCTTTTAAGGCCATCTAGTCCAACCCCCCTGCAATGAGCAGGGACATCTTCCACTGGATCGGGGTGCTCCGAGCCCTGTCCAACCTGACCTTGAATGTTGCCAGGGATGGGGCATCTACCGCCTCTGGGCAGCCTGGTCCAGTGTTTCACCACCCTCACTGTGAAAATCTTCCCTATATCTAGTCTAAATCTACCCTCTTTTAGTTTAAAACCATTACCCCTTGTCCTATCACTACAGGCCCTGCTAAAAAAGTCTGTCCCCATCTTTTAGAAGCCCCCTTTAAGTACTGGAAGGCTGCAATAAACTCTCCCCAGAGCCTTTTCTTCCCCAGGCTGAACAACCCCAACTCTCTCAGCCTGTCTTCATAGGGGAGGTGTTCCAACACTCTGATAATTTTTGTGGCCCTCCTCTGGACCCGCTCCAAACAGCTCCATGTCATCCCTGTGCTGAGGGCTCCAGAGCTGGATGCAGTACTCCAGGTGGGGTGTCCCCAGAGCAGAGTAGAGGGGCAGAATCACCTCCCTCGACCTGCTGGCCATGCTGCTTTGGATGCAACCCAGGATATGGTTGGCCTTCCGGGCTGTGAGCACACATTGCCAGCTCATGTGCAGCTTTTCCTCCACCAGTACCCCCAAATCCTTCTCAGCAGGGCTGCTCTCAATCCCTTCATCCCTCAGCCTGTATTGACACCAGGGGTTGCCCCAACTGAGGTGCGTTAGTTTGATGATCTTCATATCTTATCCAAATATCATAAGCTTGATGGTTTTTATCATATCCTTTTGAATGTTCCTTAAGAACAGAAACACATTAAGGAAACAAGTTGTACCTTGTTCTTTGCTCTCGGCTGAGGGTGAGAGACTACCATGTATTTCGCCAGTATATTTGGGTTTAGCACCACTTCTAATCCAATACTCTTCAGGTGGTATCCCCATGTTCTCCCTTAACAGCCTTCCTAATAAAATAAAGTTGATTTAAGGTCAGTATTTATTTTCGCTGATGTTAATATACTGTTTGATCCACAAATCAGAATGCAAAGCTAGCTACTGAATCTGATTGTAAGTCTATTAAAATAAACACATAGTTTTCTGGAGACCACACTTGACAAGTTACAAGCTGCTTTAAGTTTACAGATTTTGTACAAAGAAAATAAAGTTTAAGAACACTAAGCCTGTTACTAGAAGTTGATCACCCTGTGTTAGACGCCTTCCATGATATAAGACTGTACTAAAACAGCAGCCACTTAAAGTACCCATGTAACCAGTTATGAACCCTGACTGATAACTCTGCTTATTCTCAGTTCAGGTGAATCCAATTTCTACCAATATATAACTTTGATTAAATAAAATGTTCTTTTGCAGATCATATTTAATACAGTTTCACACTGATTTTTATGAAAATACAGCAAAGCTTTTGTTGCTAAAAGAAGCAGCTACAATAAAAAAATGTTTGACTCTTCTGTAGAAGAGAGAGGTTGGACAGGGTATGGCCATCAGATTATAATGAACTTAGTCCTGTTTAATCTACCCAACACAAGTCTGTGATGGGAGAGTCAGAATGTTTGTATAAATCTAAATGCAGAGTTCCCAAGATATTATTAATGGTAAATGGTAGTTCAAACGACCTTAAGCTTTTCAAATGAATAAGTTGCCACTAATGTCAGAAAGGCAAATATATCAAACCTAACTCAAAGGAGAGTTTCTGAAAAACTCTGCTGGTTGTGAAGACACAGAATCCTCATGCAATAAGTAAAAAAAGTACAGCAAACTCCCTCTGCCTCAAAGAAAATATTCTGCAGTACTTCTGGCTCTAAGCCAAACCTGAAGCTACAACATTATCCAGTCTTCCCAGTGGTTCAAACTACAATTTGAAACTGCAATTAGGTATTCTTTGTGTGCTATTAAGCAGCCCGCTGTCCTCAGCAATTAGCTTACCTCCCAAGAATTTCCGTAGCATTCGCTGGTGTTCAAGGCCTTTTCTTGCTGTCGGCTTTTTTCGTCCATAATACCCATAGTCACTGTATACAACTTCATCTTGTTCTGTCTCCTTTGGCTTGTAAACTACACCAATGTTTTCACCAAACCCACTCCTAGTTTTTATTTTCTCTTGAGCAGGCCAGCTAATTAATTGAGCTGGTATAGCATTTTTAGGTGGTTTCCAAAGCACTCTCTGGCCAAGTTGGTAGAAACTTCCTTTACTAGGCCTCAAGATTCCATATGGAGTGGCTTCTTGAAAGAAATATTCAATTTCATCCATGTCATCATCATCCTCATCCTCCTCCTCCTCTCCATCTTCATCCTCCTCTTCTCCCCTCACAGAGTAGTCTTCAGAGTCCTCAACTTCTAACAGACTCTTAACTGCTTTTTTCTTGAGAGAATTGATTTTTTTCCAACTAGAAGATCTATGAATGGCTCCCACCTTTCTACCTTTACTGGAAGCCTCTTTAATCTTCATGGTTGAAGAGTTTTTGACATCTTGGTCATTCAAGCCATTCACCTGCTCCCTTCCTATCACTTCATCTTCATTAAGGGACCCACCACTTTTAATTTTCTCTCTCTCTAGGCCCTCTGTACTTTTCTGGAAAGTATACATGCTTTTCTGAAGCACATAGTCAGGGACAAAATAAGACACTGGGGCATTATCAATTGATGAGCCTTCCTCTCTAGAGGACATGTCATCAGAAGAAAGACTGAGTATGCTTTGACGTTTCCTTTGTGGCAAACATACATCGTAGTTGTAGTTTGTGTCCATACTGTCCAGACAAGTCAGCCAACTGTTAGAGGGAACATACTTCTCAATTGATTCTTCACACCAAATACTTTTATCTGTTTGACTTTCATTTGTCACACTGTGGCTTAGATTCATCTTTTTCTGCTGAAAACTCAAGTCACTCATTACCTCCATACTAGATGGAAGTAGTCCTGCTTGTTGAATAAAGTTGGGCTCTTCTTGAGAGGTTTTCGAGCCTGTGGATTTTTTAGAGCTAGATTTCTTGGCTACTATCACATCCTGTCTTACCACTGGTTGATCTATGCTAACAGATCTCGCCAACTCTGTGATTTGCACTGCCACAGTTTCACCTGGTGGGGTTTTTGCCCATTGACTTGTATTCACCTGCTTTTCTGCATCCAGCTTCATTTCATTATCTTGGACCTCTTTTTTTTGCACAGTTTCAATACCCTGTTTTGAGGGGAGAACAACTTTTCTCTCATCTAAGTAAGCTCCTGGCACTATTTTCTCCCCTTCATGAGGGCTATATATCATTCCTTCACATGAGCTAACAGAAAATAAGTCACGCTGCACTATGTTTTCTGGGACTGGTTTACCAGTTGCCACATCATACAAAGGGATAGTTTCCTTAAAGGACTTCCACAGTTGAATAGCTGGAGAGCCACTTCCATATTCTATCCTCACTTCTTCCTTCTCAAAGGCATAGCTTCCACTAGGAAGATTTCTATACTGTGTAGAGCTGGAAGGGCTCTTGTTATGAAACTCTCTGTCTACGACAATGGAAGATCCAGATGAATCTTGTTTCTCTGAAGTACTTTCAGTCTCTGTACCTATACCAGAAGAAACACAGGCCATATTTCCTGCATCACAACCTTTCGTTTCTGTAGGGGTATCTTGATGCTTTTTTTGCTTGTTTTCAGGCTGTCTAGGATCAGTCTGTGTTTCTTTTGTCTCCATTTTTTTCCCAGAGGTACTATAGTGTCTAAATCTTGTTGCATGATAAAACATAGGGGAAGGTGAGGGAGCATTAAAATAAGGCCTTCTATTAATTCTGGCATGAATTGGCTGCTGTGGAACAAAATATCCAGGGTACTCATGGAGCGCAACAGAATAAAATGGAAAATATGGATTTCCACTTCGAAAGCCTAGACATTGGGGATACAAAAAAGTAAAGACGAGTATACCTTCTTTCTGAAATAAGTCATTCTGATTAATAATTGCTTGCAGACACAGGGACAGCTACAAGATCAGACTCATAGGTAAGTAAACCACTCCACCTGTCAATGCTTAGAAGCAAATCTGGTCAGAAACTCAGAGTTCCTTATTATGGAACAGCTTATCTGGACAGCTATACTTTAACCAGAGCTTGGTTTTATTCCTTGGAACATACACCATTTAGCTTTCTGTACTTTTTTGCTATTTTATGGACTGTGCTATGGCATCATCTTGGAAAGAGACAGCTCCAGATAGAAGTTAACATAGGTATACTGTTTACAAGATGTATTTAGCAATATTGTTTCTCTGTGCATTTTTAAACTTATATTTATCCATACCTCATGGATGCATGGAACTCATATATACACACATATTAATTGTTAGGCACATTCTAGAGCTCTCTATCTGTAAGATAACCATTACTTAATATTTTGCTTAGTTTCCATTCTCCAGAAACAAATGCTTTCCAGCACACAAGCTACACATTTAACTAACACTTCATAAATCAGATATTTGACAACTAAAACTTTACATCAATTCTACCTTAAACCCCCAAGAAGCTTGTTACCACAGATACACATTTGTTTCCTCCACTCTAGCAGTAATTTATTAAGCAAATCTACCACAGACAGTTCTTATTTACCTTACCTGGAGCAGGTACACAGTAAGGACTATATGCATGACTGAGGTACCATGGATTTGGAAAAGGCTGTTGTGCTGTTGGCTGTGCATAAAAAAAGGGTCTTGTGTGGTTTGTGGAATATGATCCACTTTCTGAAGTTGAGGTAGTATTCATTTTTTTTTTTTTAAACACTGAAAGAGATTAATAGTCAGGATTAACCACTTTAAAAAACATGTGGCTTAATGGTTTTTATGCTATGTCATAATTCAGCAGACATTCCTCTCCCAGCCCAATAAACCCAGATCTTTTCAGAAGAAAACTACCATCTTCCAAACAGGAAGTAGAAAACTGACATTATTATCAACATGAAAAAGATTTTAATTTTCCTTTGCTAAGCAAGCTTTTATATGCAGCTCTCAATACTTCAAGCCAATCTTATAACACATTTTAAAGCCACAGGACGGTCACAGGACCAATAATTTTAATGCAGTCTGATATGCACACATCCATATAAGTAGTATTCCAGCCAATTAAAAACTATCCTTCAGTCAATTAGCCTTGAACAAGAGGCCTCAAAAAGAAAAAGGAGCAATAGAAGGCTTCACACAATCCAAAGTCTGGTGCTTCATGAAGAAAACACCTCTTAATGCCAACACATATGTTGTATTTGAGATGACAATAAGAGCTCTATTCATTCAGGATTTTTACTTTATAATATACTTAAGAACAATAACAGCTAATAAACTAAATATTTCAGTGACACTATGCTTCCCATGCTTAAACTAAATGCTAGGTAACAAAAAAAGCCAAATCCTTATGCATAAATTCACATTCAAAGCTATACAAAATTCACAAGACAGAACTTCCTCCCACACCGACATATTTCCTTAGTTAACTAATACACTAAGTTCAGTCCACTCCAACCCATGTAAGTGGTACAATCCTGTCACACACAGCTTACAAGCAAGAATAAAAGACAGCGCAGAACACTTACCTAGTGATCGCACAGAAAAGCTGACAGCAGCTCAATTTAGAGTTAAGCACTTCAAAGTTACAGGAAAAAAAAAAAATTGAATTCAAGACCTGTTACAAACTAGCACACAGTTGAGCCTCGAGTTTCAGAAAGCTTTCAGGAATGCTAGAGCCCTCTTCAGTTTCCATCTAGAATGGCTTGTCCGGCTCTTGCAAGCACTAAAAAGCCTACAAACTCCCCCTTCCTCACCTAGGCCAAAGCTCCCAGAACTATTTTGACCTTTGAGAGAGAGTGATGTTGGAGGAGGGGGGGAGGGAGGAAGGGGAGGGGGGAAGGAGGGGGAAAAAAAAAAACCACCTACAAAAACTAAGCTATTCTTTGCCCCATTAGAGCCCCTCAAAACTAAGGTCCATGCTGCTGCTGCTACTGCTGCTTACAGCCCAACAAGAAACTACCCACATCCTCAGCTCACCCTCTTTATGGCAGGCAGCTGCTACTTGTTCCCTCCCCCTTCCACCTGGGGCTCATTTAACAGTGATGCAGAGGCGGTTTTCCATCCATGTGTGGGAGGAAGAACTGAAACACAAGGACAGGAGTAGTGGTAAAAACCTTAAGCTTGTGTGCGGAGAACTAGCAGGCTCATCTTTTGCAGGTATTTAAGCTGTGCCCCAAAGTGAATCCAGCGTGGCCCTTTTGCAATGCTGGAACTTACGTTAAGAAAATCATGGGTGTCAAAGGGACGTATTACCCATCTTCAGCTTAAAACTACTGTTAAAGATGCTTTTTGTAGGGAGAAAAAAAATAATCTGACAATGCAAGGTGAAGTTTGCATATGATTTTAAAGTTTATCAGTTTCTCAGTACTAAAGGGAGCAAAGCTCTTCCATCCTAACACAGCTAAGTGGACTGACCAACGTAACATTCTTTCCATACAACAAGGGAAGGACTTATTTAAGTTAATTACATTATTGCAGTAAATTAATTACATTAATGTAATTAATATAACTGAAATCGATGACATTTATGTCATTAGTGTGACAGAAGTTTATGAAATGTGAGGTTGCAATGTGAGTCTGCCCTGGGTCTTTACAGGAGATGAGAATCGGAGTGGCCACGGTGCAACTTCCCATCTCTGAATGACAGAGCAGCGGTACAGGGGGAGACGGCCAGAGAGAAAAGCACAACCAACCTGCTACGCAAGTAGATGAGCGACTAGAGAAAAACAAAGAGGTGCAGATACTTGGAGACCACTTCTATTTCTAGCTTGGGAAATTCCTGTAGTTTCTGAGGTTTTTTTCTTTCTATAATGTTTGGATTAAACTTGTCCTTTGCGCTGACACAGATTACAAAACGCCTGGGAAAGATTACTGATGTTGCTGTTCACAAACTTCCTGTGTCAAAGCTTTTCTTTTCCACTGATGGCAGCTCTTGCACTTTGTGTGCAGGACACTTGTGTGATTTTTTTTTTTGTATGTGTTAAATCTTTAACTTCTGCATTTATCAGATTAAGCTTTCACTTTTTTAAAGTTAAATTCCTAGTCTTTCTCTTGGTGGATGGGCCCAAAGGGAAATAAAAAAAAAACAAACCCAAAACCTATTCCCTAGCTTTTAGAAAGTTGCCTGTCCTCAGGATTTTCCTTTCCCTTGGACCAGACTTAGTCTTCAGACGCTTCCCGCCTTCCTTGCCCCTGCCGCTTCCCTCCTGCGGCAGGCTGAAGGCCCCACGAGCCCCAGGCGGCGTTTGCTCAAGGGGTAGGCAAACCTCGCCTCTGAGGCTCCCGCGTTTGGCCAAAGGCCGTTTCAGCTGCGTGGTGCCTCGGCCCGCGGGA